TTTTAAACTCTTGCTGTTGAGCCAAGTGAACGTCAAAGCTGCTCCACTGAAACAATGGAAATGATTTCAAAGCTTGTGATATGGAAACCCGGGGAAGAAGGAATAAATGCAGTCTTTGGCACTGCAGGATGCAGTGAATGGGAAGATCTACAAGAGAGGAGAACCTAGCAAAGGGATGTGATGGGATCCTGTGTGTCGTTTAGAAACTATAGTTACTCTATTACTTGCTTTGACAAACAGGGATTGTTGCCTTGCAGTTATCCTTGGTAAAATATGCATCAGAAAGCTTTGACAGGAAGGTAAAATTTCTACCATTACCAGGCTCACCATCAAGCCACTATGACTCTAGCACAGATACCTCAGGAATTTCCTCTTTCCTCATCAGAAACACCCCTGAGGAGTGCTGGGAGTGCTGAATCTGATTTGATTGTTTATTTTTATCACTCCGTGCTGAACTGCTGCTAATTCAGTGGCAAAGCTCTTGCACTGTTTAAAATAACTATGCATGCCAGTGCGCATCTCTCTTGAAAGGAATGGAGAACCTAACCAACCATGTAAGCCACTGAATGACACTCATTTTGAAGAGGAGATGAAGAATCAAAGGAGTTTCTTTCAAGTATGGCCTGTGCTGTAGTTCAAAGGCATGACTACAGCACATGTGAGTTGGCCTGACATGAATTAGCTGGAGGCTTGCACTGCAAATACTAGTCTGGTCACTCTGAATGGTACTTAGGAGTCAGCAATTCATCCTGGGCATGCTACAATTCTCCCGTGTCCTGCTTGGAACTGCAGAGGGGTAAATGCCTTCCCTCTGCCGCAGGCATTTTTGCAACTTGTGTCAATAAGGCACTGATATTTCTTGAGGTCGAGAGGTCGCTCCTTGGCTTACAGTGACCTTAAGCCTTGTCAGCCAATGTGGAAGCCAGTTTCTGCTTGTAATGTGAAAGAGAATTTCATATGGACGTGCAACTGTTTACAGAAAAATAGGTTAGCATTTCTGTGTATGTTTGCAAAACCTGTTCAAAGAGAGGCTTGGGAAAGTACACTGGGTTAATTCTCAAGTGTTGTAAAACATTCTGCTGAGGTCCTATTACCGCTGCTAACTGAGCGAGTTTAAACCTGGGCCTAACTGAAGAGGTCTAAGGGCAGATTTACAGTGTGCATGTGGGGCTGACGAAAGTTTTGCTAGCGATCCGTTCAGAGTTACCCTTTCCTTTGAGATAGTCCTGAATCAGCAGTGGGCCTAGGTTCAAGGAGCTGTCTTGCAAGGGAAAGTATTCCCTTTATGATGAGATTGAAAGGAAAAGTTCTAATCTGACCATCAGGATCTAACTGGCCTTATCTAGTGCTGTACATACAAGGTAGAGTTAATTTCAGTTCTGCCCTTACCAAATTACAGTATCTCTTAGCATCTGCCACCCCAAAAAAAATTCCCCCAGAACTTTCACTTGAATATGATAGTATTTCATTGTCAGCCCAACTGTTTTGAGCAATTATCTGCAAAGCTGTTGTATCACTTCAGTAGTGATATAGGCTAGTGATACAGTGTGGAACAGGCTGCCCAGAGAGGTTGTGGAGTCTCCTTCTCTGGAGATCTTCAAAACCCGCTTGGATGCAGCCTGTGCCCCGTGCTCTAGGTGACCCTGCGTGAGCAGGGGGGTTGGACTAGATGACCTCTGAGGTCCCTTCCAACCTTGGGCGTTCTATGATTCTATGGCATTAGGAGTGGAAGAAATGCAATACTTAAAAAGTCCCTATCTTAAAGGTGAAAGGGCCTTCTCCTCACAAAGAGGGTGAAAAATCATCAGCAGAATCTCACTGAAGCATTGCAAGTTATATTTATGATGGATAATTCTTATTCAAAGCCCTCTTATTTTCTTTTGGTTTAAAATAGTTTGTTTCAGTTAGGCACAATGACCAGCTGAAAAGGTAATTTTATTTTTTTTTCTCAGCAACTTTTTGTTGTGTTCTTCAAATTTTTAATTCTTAAATCTCTTCACTATGTTCTTTTTGACCCTGTCGCCTCAAACTGAGTGCATGAAGTGTCTTTAATTCTCAAGCACATGAATAAATTAAGCAGTTTTTATATATTTGACAGTTTTTCAAGTAAAGTATATCAATACTACATACAAATATTGCATGAAATCAAAAGTTTATTGATGATACGGAATAGTAAAATAGTGTAAATCATGTATGCTAACCTTAATGCAATTAATACATAAAGCTTTAAAATGTATATTTTACAGGCACATTCCGTTTTAAGTATACTGAGTGATACGCACTAATAGGTTAATGTTACAGTCCTTTGACCTGAACAGCATCCATGTGATGGCAATGTTAATCATTTATTTTTATACAATAGTTTTCGACAGTTATTTCTGTGATATCCTGCAGACAAATTCATCTTTTTTCATTGATTGCTTATTAATACAACTCTAAATTTGGTCACCATTCCAATTCATTCTTGGTTTTGCGTTTGTAGCAGAATTTCTTGCCCAATATTCACTGAAAATAAGGGATCTTTGATTTCAGTGGATCTTGGGGCTGGTCCTTAAATCTCATAAATGGAAACTAAGGAACCTAAAAGATCCACATTCGTTCTCTCCAAATGAATGAAAAGGGCTGTGAGCTTAGATGGGAGTTAAAATGCAGAATAAGGGAAGAACTTGTGTGGGTGTGTGTGTACACGACAGAAAAACATGTGACAGCAAAATATTTTTATTGTCAGGTAAAATCTGAGACAAGAGAAGGAAGCAAAAACCTCATATGATTAAAAACATTGAGGATGCCTAAGGAAGGAGGGGGATGAATAATGCACTATGTTGTGCAAGGTATATTAAATACCTCAAGGGAGGGAGTGAGGAGGATGGGGCCGGCCTCTTTTCAGTGGTGACCACTGATAGGACTAGAGCAAACAGCCACAAACTGAAGCACCAAATGTTCCGCAGGAACTTAAGGAAAAATTTCTTATCAGTGAGGGTGACAGAGCGCTGGAACAGGCTGCCCAGAGAGGTTGTGGAGTCTCCTTCTCTGGAGATCTTCAAAAACCCACTTGGACGCAACTCTGTGCCACGTGCTCTAGGTGACCCTGTGTGTGCAGGGGGTTGGACTAGATGATCTCTGGAGGTCCCTTCCAACATTAAGGATTCTGAGAGTCTAATTTTTTATGCATATAACAGTATGAAATTATTTGAAGTCTCTCTTTTGTAGGAGTACTTTGCCGTCATTCAGATTGGAGAGGATGAATGTAGAATAATGCAATACAAACTTCAGCTATTCAGGCCATAAGAAAAAAAAGGATACGACCCAAAGCCCCCTGGAATTAACTTAAACACTTAATTTCACTAAAACTGGAATCATGTTGTACAATATAGCTCTTGGAGCTTAACACTTAAGAACATCCACCGAGAAGAGACTTGTTCACAACATGGAAATGTGAGGGAATCGCTTCAAAAATTTCCCCCAAACATGCTGAGTACTTGACACTCAATCCTGCAATGTTTACACACATGAAAAATCTCCTATTTACTTCAATAGGACATATATATATGTGAGCTGATTGCTTGATGAGTCATTTTGTAGGTTTATATAAATCTAGATTGCTCCGTATGTAGCAAACAGGGAAGTTTCATAGAAACCAACTAATTAACAATCAGAAGTTAAAATGAAATAAGATGGAGTCTGGAAAAGATGAATTAATGGTGGGGGTGTGTGTGACAAATCTAACTTATAGAAATTTTAGAAAGAATCCTTATGTATCCAGTAATCAAGGATTAAGTCACCTGCATTTCTTCTAACTTCAAAATTCCTTGGTGTAGTAAAAACAACACTGTGTAGTGTTATATATTTATGCTTTTATATTATCCTAAATCTATCCAGATGATCTCTTCTCTAAAAGATCACCCAAAGTGAAGGACCTGATTCAAAGCACTAGGTTTTTGTCGCAGGCTACACCTATAGTCCATGACAGATGGCATATTCTGATTGCATAACCAAAGACCTTGCTTGACTTTTGTTGGCGGGGAGGGGGAAGCTTAGTTGTGAGATTTTCTTGTGTGTGCATTGGGGAAAGGGGCTTTTTCAGTAGTGGTGGGTTTCTCTTTGCAATGGGGAGTGGGAGGGAGGGACTGCTTTAAAGGTTGATAATGCCAGCCTTGGAGAAATTCAAAGCTAGACTGCAAAAAGGATTAAATTCAGCCACTCAGAGTCTGACTAGCTGTAGTGCATATTCAACTTGGTATGTTTTTGGAGGTTTTCAGCATGGCTGAAGCTCAGACTGTAGAGAATCTTATGCTGGTGATCTGAAAACTGACCTCTGCAGGGTGAAAATTGGGGTTTGTTTTATTTGCTTACTTGAACTAGTTGCTTGCATAAAAAACTGTTAGAGCCTAAGGGTGTAGAAGTACTAAGAAACAAATGAACTTAAAGGGAAGTCTTAAGTGCTCAGCTCTATAGGAAAAGACTGAATTACTGGCACACCCAACGCTGAATGCTAATACTGGTGAAACCTGGCTTGGGATTTTTTCCCTTTTTTGGAGAGCTCCCCCTTTACTCTTTGTTTCCGGATACTGAAGTATATTTTCAACAGCCAGTTCAAGCTGTATTACATTTAAAGATGTTTACTGTCTGTTCTGTCCTTCATCAACAGCTGCAGTATACAGACCATGAGACTCAGATAAGGAACCTTATCAGTATTTCCCTGGAAGGCAACAAACAAATATTCATTCAATATACATGTTAAAATAGCTGGCATTAGAAAGAAAATTTATTTTTGGTTTTTGGATGAGCAAGGAGTTTTGAAAAAAAAAAAAAAAAAAAGATTTTATACAAAACTCTGGACTTAATCCAAAATCTATTACAAGTCGCTAGGCATCTTTTCTGTCAGTTCATATGTAACCAATGATTTATGATTCTAGAACAGTGCTAATTATGTACTGGCGGTAGTTATGACATTCCAGCTGTGGAGTTAAAGATCCTGACTAGATAAAATGATTTTCCTATTATGAAATACCTTTAGGAATGATGTCAAAGTGGCCCAAAGATGAAAACGGGAAAAGCTCAGAAATATTACTTGGTGGTGAGACGTAAGGCATTCTTCTTGGGGCATCAAGAAAAACATAACCCTGTAGAAATGAAGAATCCATAACAGTAAATTTTGAGCAATTTCAATGAGGCAGGTTTGCATCAAGAACACATACTGGTTTTGACTTGTGAAGCCTAGGTTCTGCCCTTAGTATAAGATGAAAGAAAATGACATTGTTTCCAGTTCAATCAGTATTAACCTGTTTTGAAATTATTTTAATTGTTTGCACTGTATTTTATGTCCTATAGAGCATAACTGTTAAAAAATCATAAATTATAAAACATGGGTTTTTAAAATTTGTCTACCCCGACTAAAACTTTTTTTTTGGGTGAGCTTCTGTACACATACACAAATGGGAAGTCTCATTTAACACATTTGAAAAATAAGACTCTTGAATAGGTTTTTAGCCCTCTACTGCAATTTGGTTTATATGATATGGTTTATTTTACTGTATGTGCTTTTTTGGGTGCTGGAGCTGGTGTGAAAGTCCCTATCAACAGAGTTACCTCTTGAAAGACATTCTGTCTCCTGTTTTTATGAGTCTGAATCAACTGCATTAGCTCCGTATTCTCCAGAATGTTTAAACAGGGATTGGTAGTTTGACATGAATTTAGTACCTACAAAGATAATTGAAAGCTGGTTTTGCAAACAAATAAGCAAATACAAGACCACGGTAAACAGCCTGCTCTTGATCCTCACCTGCAGCTCAGGTTTTCCTCCCATTTGTAATAAACAATTAATTCCCTCAAGAATTTGATCTTTGCGTAATTTGAGAAATCTTCCCGTGTCAGTCCTGATGTCAGTTTTTTGAGATTCCGTAAGCAAGGCAGTGTGAGAGAGCGCAGCGCAGTGTAGTGGTGTTAAGCCTGAACAGAAAGGATCACAGAAAAGTCAAATCTCTTGCTTGAACCCATCCCTTAAACCACACCACGCATAACTAATCACAAGGGTATGCAGTAAGATGGCTTGGCTCTCATGCTAAACCATTATTTTAAAATATCAAATCAAATATTCTTTGCTCTAGATATAATCTGGGATCTGAAACTTCAGGGATCTACCCTAGACTTTGATAGTTAAGCCTTTTCTCTTACCATAATGGTCAGTTAGGTTCACTTCCACACCCATGCCGTTTTCTTTGAAATTTTTCAAAACCTAAAATCAAGAAAACCTTGAGATGATAAATCGTACTTTGGGCACTGCTAAGATGCAACTCCCCATCTCACTGTAACAGTACCGTATCAGCTAGTTTCCCTGGCCACTCTGAAAGAAAGAACATGTATTTGACTCTCAAACTCTGCCTTTGCACATGTGGCTGTAAAATATGTGACCAACTTACTTCTAGAACTCGCAAATATCCATTTTCTGCACAGAGGTGAAGAGGAGTTTTCCCCAAGCTGTCTTGTTCATTGACATTAGCTCCCAGGGAAATCAGGTCACTGACCATCAGGTGTTGGTTCTTTTCGGCAGCAAGATGTAATGCAGTCTAAGTAGAAAAAAAAAAAAAAAAAAAAAAGAGGAAAAATGTTGCAAGAGGTGAAAATGCTTAAAAAACAGCATTCCTTGTAAGAGAGGAAGAGTTGAGACTTGGTTTCTATTCCCTGCTGATCTTACTAATACTTGCTGTATGGAAATAATCTCCTCTCTGCATCTGTTCTTGCTTCTTGAGAGCAGCAAGTTTTAACATCAGCCCTTAAAGGGTGCTTGATACTTAGTTTGTAGTCAGGTTTTGAAAGATATTTGATATGCTTTTATTTAATGTTTTAAGACGCTACTCTTTCCAAATTGGTATCCTACCCGTTTCTCTGCGTCCTTCTCATCAATTTTGTTTAGGGATGCAAATCTCCGTGCAAGCACATACGTCAGAGCTCTTCTTCCCTGAGAAACAGCCTTGTGTAGCAGCCTGGAATAAATCCCATTTTAAACAATTAGAAGCTAAAGCAATGCTTTTAGTGAAAAGCTGCAGAACATACTTCAAATCATGAAATACTGAGGGTTGCAAATGTCAAAGGATTGAGTTGTTTCATCATTTAATGTATTTATCTTGTATTGATAAGGGGATCTCTAATTTTGTGGCTTTTGTTTCAACTTGCTGTGTGTACTAGGGCTTCTTCCTTCTCACTTCTTGCTGCTGTTCCATTCCTTCACTCCACTTCTGGTGCTACTGCATGATTCCTCTTTCTAATCAGTATCTAACTATTTCTTCTTCAGTTTGTGAGCCCCTCTCTGCAGACAGAAAGGAGTGTGAAAGGCATAAAACTCATGGGAGGGGAAGGCCTTCTTTCCCACGTGAGAGAAAAGCAATATTTCCAAGCAGTAATTCAGACCTATGCAAGAGAGCAACTTAGTCCTTCTGTATGTATCCTTGGTCTCACTGAATTGCTCAAAACCGCTCATGTTCATCTGCAGAGTTTCATCTTGAAAACATTTGTGTTTCTGAAAAATTGAACATGTTTACCTTTTTTTCTTGACGGAAACATAAAGTGCAGACACTTCCTTCCTTGTCCTATAGCATGGTACTCTCAATAATTTGTCAATAACTCTAGGCTGGGGTTTGCCTATGTTGTGGTCTCTGCTCTTTTTAGTTCTTGGGGGGGGGGGGCGGGAATTTTGATACAGTAATTCATATTGCTCAGGTTTCAGTACAGTTCAGGGTTGCTTTCTTTTTGTTATGTACTCTTGCCTTTATATGCTGCTGCTTTCTGTACATGTCCTGGTGTTAATTTTTTTGTGAGTTTAAGCCAACTAAGAATTTTAGTATGTGAATGCTAAATAAGCACATTAGTAGATTTTTTAACTGTAATAGACTTTGTGTATGTGACTTCTTCAATATTTTCCACAGATTTTTAAAAACAATAGTATAGAAAAAAGTGGCAAGTGGCTTATTGCAACTGTGTTGCGGTTCTTAAGTTATTGTTGAAATGCAAAATTCTTTCTAACATAACACGACAAATCATGATTATGAATGACACTGAGCACCTCATGGAAGAGGGGGAACAGATTGTCTGGGAATGTATCACTTTTCTACTAACTGAGATCTTGTAACTAGGTCACATTTTCTGCAAATTGTATTTAATATCTTCAGATGAGCTGAACTGTGGGAAACCTCATAAGGTTTTTCTTTGCTTTTTTTTTTTTTTGATGAACAAGTATTTACTCTTTAAGCATGCTATTCTAGGGAATGTGGGAGCAGTGAAGTCTTTTGCTTTCAATTCATTTCTAACAAAACAGCCCATCCCAATTCTGTGGAAGTCTATCCTCCGTCTACTAGGAACGTGTGTAAGTTTTGTGTGATCTTTCCACTCATTTTTCTTATGAACTAATAGTAAAAGTAATTATCCCATAAGTGCTGCAGTCTGGAAAACAAATCTCATCTGCAAATCTTTTTTTCTTCTCGCCCTCTTGCAACAATTTGTTTTGCTTGATTTGATTTTCATCTGAATCACATATACTACCCAGTCCTTAGTATTGTTCCAAATTTGTCCTGATATCAGCAGTAGTTTAGGAATATTGCTGCAAACAAGCAAATTTTTTTTTTCTTTTTTTAATAGAGGGCTTGAATTCTGCTAAAATTGTATGCTGCAGCAGATTTCAACTTCCTCTTGAAGCTGAAAGTTGTTGAATAAAGAAGCAAAGAAGCCTTTGCTACTGATGTGTCCAGAATTGGCAGTAAAAGCTAGAGCAAATCCTCAGGATGAGTGACACGAGTAAATAGAAGGCCATATGATTTAAGCAGAAAAATTGGAGACCTATTGCCGTTTTCATCAGGTGCGAGCAGTTTGTCCGATGAGATATTTCTCAGTAAACTTTCTTCCCTGTGTAGCTGAAACTGGAAGAAAGAGATGGCAGAGAGATCTTGCTCTGTGGAAGAAAGTGGGAATGACTTCAAATGTCCCCCAAATTCTGGAGAGCCTGTATTTGCTTCCACAAACTCCTCTGGACAGCCAGCCTGATAGCAGGGAGATGTGCTCCATGCAGAAAGCCTCAGGACATCTCTCTGGGAACTGGTACACACATCCTGCATCCACCAGCTGCTTTGTTTCTCACTTGCCCTTGAGAAGGATCCTGATGAGTCTGGTTCTTGCACATGTTTATGGCTGTGAAAAGGAGTCTCTAACTCTCCTTGCAGCAGCCGGTTGCAATCTTTGAAAGGGCAGCGTGAGCGCAACTTTGTCACGCTATGGCATCTTTCCTGCAGACCTCTAGCTGCCTGCCTGTTTGTTCCAGGTTCCCTTTGAGTGGCTTGCAGCTCTGTGGAGGAGGAGCTCTGACAGAAGCTCTCTGGTGCAGAACTCGGAGACGCTGCCTTTGACTGGCTTGTGTTCAAGTCTTCCTGTAGTACCTCCACCAGGATATCAAGGTCCTCTAAGCCTTTTGGTGTTTGCCCAATGCTCTGCTTGCTCTGTAACAGCAACAACAAAACGGGGGAGGGCGGAAGATGGGGGAGGAAAATCAGACATGAAGTGTCCTGTTCTTGCTCGGCGATAAAACATGAAATATGCCTGGGGAGGCTGGCAGCGTTGAGTGGAGGGTATTATGCATACCTGTCTAAGCTGTTTCTCTGTATAAGGGTGAGCTCTCCGCTTCTCTGCTGGAAGACAGAAAGAGAAGCTACCTTGAATTATAGGAGGGGAGAAGTTTTCAGAATTTTAGCATTGGTTTATCCAGGTAAAAGGTAATGCATCCATGATGATGTTGCCCTGCCTGGGTATTTTCAGAGGAGCTAGGGACTGGGGTTGATTACTGATACTGAGGGTAGAAGAGGCCCAGCTTTTTGGGTGTTTGAGTGCTGCTCCATTAGAAAAGGAGACCGCATTATTAAGCGAGGGATTTCTTAACCTGTTTTTCCTGAGGATCCTTTAGCTGCTGTCTTCGTTAATGTAGCCTCCTACAGAGAGAAGAAAAGAGAGTTGCTTGTGCACAAGAGAAAGTGAAACTGGAAAATAGGGTAATGTGAGTTAAGTAAACTGGAACTTTGCACGACAAAGCACTGTGTACCTTGTACTGTGAGTACCTTGCACAGCAATATCTGCAAGTCAATAAATCTGTGGGACAGGGTAACTCGCAAGAACTGCAGATGAATGGGGGCATAGCCCTTGCAATAGTCCAGGTATCTGGGAGTCTACCAACCTCTTGGGCTGGTTTTGCAGGTTGTTCAGAAATCTCAGTTGCTACAGCAGACTTGCTATTGGGGCTCTGTCCGGCTTGGGCTTGTTTTCATGATGTTTAGTTTTGACTTATATTTGGATATATAGTATGGGCTTGTCCTTCAAAATGGTGTGCAGGGCCTCGGTGGGTTCTTGCTGCAGCGCACTCAAGAAATGTTTCTATTACTGACCACAGTCTATTTAAAGCTTGGTGTGTGCTCCAGCTCCATCAAAAGCTTTGAGCATCGGTAAAGAGGTAGCAGCAATTGAGTAAACTTTCCAGAGCACCGGCAGAGTGGGAGTGTGATGTGCATGCACCAGGGCACTGTATCTGTCTATATAACGAGCTTTCCCAGCTCTAGAAAGTCCTCACCTTGCTGTGACCTGGATCCAAGCCTTTGGAAAGCCTTATCTTTCTCAGTAGTTCTCGTACTGGCATCTTCACTCTCACACCCATGTAGCGCTTCTGAGGGGGCTCAGAGCTAAGTCCAGAGTCTGGAAAAGTCATAACATGATGCTTCAAGTAATTGAATTCTACAAGCTATAAAACGGTAGCGAGAGGATGAGGTCACCCTGAGGGACCACCTTTGATTGTGATGTTCAGCATCAGTTAAGGAAACTTCCACATCACCTACCTCTGCCTTAGTTCTGGTGTTTTGTTAAAGTACTTCCTGCTTAACAATTAGTTGAGTTCATTGCTTTTTGGGGTAGAATGGTCTGTGAGGCCTCAAAACGGGAGTTCCTTTCTTTAGAAACAAAACAAAAACTCCAAGGCTGGCTGTGGGATCTTCAATCTGAGAGCATTAAGCAGAGGGCTGGCTTAACCTGCAGACTGCCTCACAAAGACTATTTCCGAGCTTTAGTATGCAGGGAACACTTCAATTTGGAGAGAAGAAAGAGAAGAGACTGTCCAAAGCCTGAAATGCCATGTCCAACCTCTTTTTCCAATGGCTCTTGTTTTATTTAATGAGGTCAATGAGGTGTCATCAGATTTTCTGTAGTGAAATGCAATACTACATCTTTGAGAATATACATAATTGTCCAAGCAAGCTTATCTTTGTCAAAACAAGCTTCAGTATAATAGTTCATGTTATGTTTTCTTGCATCTCGTACTTGAATTCCCAAACTTGAAAGACTAGCCCAGATTAGGAGCTTAAATGTGTCGCTGTGGAAATACCTTTTATGCAACTCTTTCCCCTGAGGAGGATCATTTTCCTATGAAATGCATTCGGCAATAGCTATTATCACTGTAAAATGATAATGGATTTAATGGATCAGTTCAGGGTTCTTCCCAGTTGACTGGCATATAAAAAGTGCACTCTTAGAGAGGCCCTGTTCCAAAGGAGGCCTGCTGTCGAGGCTGTGTGTGTGTGCTGCTGACAGCAAGAATGTGGCTGGCAGCTGTGCTTGCCAGGCCGGAGGGGAGGCTCCGTGTGCTCCCTGTAAGGGCTGCTGGCGCCTGGCTAGCTGAATCCTGAGGAGGAGAATTGCAGGAGCTCTGCCCGTGTGAGTGATGCATCGCCTGCCCCAGACTTGGGATGTCTCCAAGGAGGCACTATTGGCATGGAAACCAGCTGCACGAGACATGGTGTGAGGTCAGGTGACACTGTCTCTGTTCCCTGCATCAGGCATCAAGAGACGGACACCCTTTTAGCAGGAGAGTGATGAATCCCAAGGGGCAAACAATGAAAATTCAAGACTTTGTGTTGACCCCAAGCACTTCTATAACTTGTCACTGAATATTTGAAATACTTGGACCTCAAAAAGTGGTTTATTTCAGACTGCTGCACAAATGGAAATAATTACCATTTTAGACTGGGATGTTGAAGAGAATGATTGACTATTTGTAGACCATTTTAAAGACTTTTCCAAAAAGCATTACAAAAAGGCAAAACTGTTAATATATTTTAAGCTACTTCACAGTAACAGTGCTAGATGATGTACATGCCCAGATATAACCTAAAGGTTGAAGAACTCATCAGAGCCTTGCCAAAATTCGCCAAGTATGCTGTTATATGATTTTGTAATATTAATAATTTAGGTCATGTCTACTATGTTGTTGTTTGATTTAGAAGCTACCTTACAGTTCAGGTTGTAAATGCACCTCAAAATGCTAGAGAGAAACACAAATCAGATTACTGAGCAAAACACAGAATCACTTCTAAGTTAAGGAACACAGCAAAACAAAAACAAGACCCGAGCAGGAGAGTGCAAAATGCATCTATCCTGGGCATTATTGCCACAGAAACTTGACATGTGATACTCTTAGCATTATATTCTGTCGGCACAGAATGTATACGATGTATGTTATCACTTTGCAATGGAAGCTTAATACTGTTGCATAAAGTAAAATGTGAGTAAACATTTGATCTTACCGGTGGGAGCAGACATCTCCTGAGGTTTAGCAGAAGGAAGACGGTAGGTCTCAGGACTTGCAACATTACGTTCGGTTAATCCAGAGTCTGGTAATGATGGGCTCTGTTGAAAATGGTTTGGGGGGCTGGCAGTTTCTCCTGGCAGTGGAGACTCGTGGCCTGGGCTATAGGCACAGATTTCATTTTCATTGATGTTTTGACTGAGCAGTAAATCTGGGCTCATGCAGACTGTTTGCAACATTTCTGCTGTATGTGCACAAGAAATACAAAAAGGGAGGGGAGAAAAAAAGAACACTCCCAAAACCAAACCCTACTGGTTTGTAAAAAACAAATGAAAATCCAGTTTCACATTGGAAGCATGATAATTGTATTTAATTCTTCAGAGTAATTAGCCACTACTAACTGCCTCCAACCTCCCTCTCCTTTTTTTGAGCAGCAAGTTATAGCAGTTGCAGAGGAAAGCCAGCTTTGGAATCCAAGCAGTCACTGGAAACTGCTTATGAGAAGATCTTGGCAGCAACCCGCCCTCACTCTTTATAGTCAGGTAGGGCTCCAAGGACGTCAGCCTGGGAAGGCCCCACCCTCTTTCCTAACAATCTATCATTCGCTGATGGAGAAATCGCTTTTCCCAAGAAGAGACTGAGTACAAGTTGAAAAATACTTTCCTTACATAAAGTTAAAAATCGGACTTAAGAGTTTACTGCAGGTAGCATGAGTAGCCCCCTTCCTTCTCTCCTCAGGTTAAGTGAATAAATAGATTGGTTGGACCATACAAACAAGCAACTGATCCAGAAGCATTTTGTCTTTTTTTTTTTTTTTTTTCCTCTCTCTTTTTCCTCTCTAAAATCAGTGGAAGAAACAAAGCCCTTTTTCCAGGGCTGTATAAGAGGAGCTATTGCTCTCGGCTTTCAAGAGCAAAAATAATTTTCCCTTAAGATTAGAAATTCAGCTGTGCAGGTGTATCCCCTATTCTCTGCATAGTTTTGTCTTTGAAGACAGAAGAAGGTTATATGATTCCTTTTTTTCTGCTGATTTTTTTTATTAAAGAAAACAGTCGTGAATACTATGACACATGGCATTTTTAAAAACCAGTTGGGTTAAAATTCTGTTTGGATGGGTACTTTGACTTCTTTGTGTATCAGACAAAACAGAACGAGGCTATATTTTCTTGGCCAAGTGGACAATACTGATACGAATATATTTTAGTTTAATCTGGATATGGACTTCCTTGATGCACCTGTGCAATTCTGTTTTTTTTTCTCTGAAATGTATGTAAGAAACCCGGTCTCAGGAATGTTGACAGAATTATTTAGATATTGATCAAAGCTAGGAAATTTGATGCTTGTAAAACAAGTGTAGAATTGGGTACCAATCTGCATTTCAGCAGCACTGGAGAAACTTGTTTCTACCCCATAGATATTGCTATCTAGTAATACCCATTAATGGCATTTGGATCTGAAAAAAGTGAGTGCATCGGGGAGAAGCAGGGCTAATACGCCATATCTTTGTCTGCTGCCCATCATTTAAGTTAACAAGGCCAAAGCAGTTCTCCCTTATTCCTACAAATTCTAAAAGATAAGCCCTCTGGGATTAAGGAGATACGATGAACAAATATCCCAATTTATTCCTGTTTGGATTGCGACAGGTTTGCTTAGTGGGAATGATTGATAGAGGATATTTCAGAAGTTTGAAAATTACCCACCTCGACTTTAAGGCAATCAGAAATGGAACCTGTTTTTAAGCAGGAACATACTCTCTTCTCTAGTTAAATATTTGTTCTGTTGTTCACTTTGCCTTTATGACTTGTGTCAGCCTAGGACGAGCTGGGGCCAGGTCCAGTCCAACCTTCCTTGGTGACATCAAGGAGTAAGATATTTTGTAAAAGGTGCTATTTAAATGAGTCTGATAAACATCCCATGTGGAACTTCTCAGTGCTTGTATGATGGGAGAGTTTGGCCTGTCATAAACAGGAAAATGCTATGGTGAATCATTGCGTTAATTGGATTGAAAATTACATAGGACGTTTATCACTTGTCTTTTTTTCTCTTCTGCTCCACTCCTTGTATTGGGTACTTTTCAACGTTAGTTTAAAATATGCTATTATGCTCACAGTGAAAGCATAAATTCAACCAGTTTTATGGTACAGAAAAGAAGAACACACATTCCTGTGTTCTTCTGAGAAAAGAAGCAGTTTTGGAAAGCTAACAATAAAAATCTTGGAACTTGGCCACCCTAAGAAAATGAAATCATGTGGGGGTTCTGCTTCCAATTTTAGTAGGTGTCTAATATTTTATGCAAATACTTTGGTGCTGTACTTTCAAATAGGTCTTATGAGTCTTATTCTATGAACAAGCATTACTAAGCATAGCCAGAACTAAAAATGACTTGTCTTTTTACAGCTGCTTTGCTTTTCCTCTCAATAGCAGTTGTGAATTTGAACCTGCTGACAAAGCTACAAATAATGTCCTCCCATAGCCATTTTTGCAAGGCAAGTTGCTTTATGCAGAGCAAGCAGAGAGATAGAAAAAGACAGCTTTAAAGTATCTGGAGAGAGTTGATACCTCTTGCCACAACTATGGAGAAAATCACCTGGCATAATAACCAGTAAAACCTAGACTAGAAGAAGTATTCTCAGGGGCACAGAATATTTTCATTATCTTCCACAGTTTATTAATTTCCTGTTTGTTTTATTGTTTGAATCTACCCTGTAACATCTGTTTTGAAAAAGGGAGAGAAATTCAAACCTTGAAATGTGAGGAACTGTGGATGCAAGTCTGAGTATTTGGGTAGAGATTTTTCAGTGACATCTGGGGAAGGGGATGAAGTCAAAACACAGATTTGGTCACACTTTTATCCTTTTAGGAAGGACTTCTTGTATCCTTTTTATGTATCGCCACCTTGCAACTCAGTGGTATTGGTAGGAAAGATTGTATGTGGGATCTTTGTGTTGAAGTTTTTGGTTTTGTTCTTCTTCCTTTTAACTGTACTGATGTAATATGTTCAGGAAAAAAAAAAAAAAAAAAAAAAAAGACTTGTCGCTAGCTGGAATTTCCTAGTAGATAACAGCAGTTAAAGCAAGTCCTTGCCAACTGATTTGTGATGAGTAGCTTTGCAAATTTCTTTCCATGGAGTCTTTTTGGTCATCCTGCCAGTGGGTGCAGCTCCTTTTATAAATGTGGATGCAGCATGAATGCTCTGCAGCTTCCATCATCCCTGTTGCTACATGTTTCTTTAGTGTGCCCGCCCTCTGTAACAACATTTGTTGGGTTAGGTTTTAGTCTGTGTTTCCGCTTCGATGCTGTTCCTTTGCCAACTGTTAACCCATCTGAGCGTAAAATCCCTGGTTGCAATGGTTTTCTTGATTAATATTCTCCTTCTTTCAACTATGGAGGGACCAGGAGATGGTGTGCTAAATTTGCTCTGGTGTGAAAGCAAGCATAAGGATTTTCTCTGCATGTGCTTTGATGTCCAATGAGAATATAAGTCATCAACCGTATGTGTACAGTTCAGTTTAAAGATGAATGTTTAATTGTGTGAGTAGATGTTGAAGGCAGCAGATTTCCTATAATAAGTACCTGCTAAGATATGATAATAGGGTAAGATATTCAGAACAAATGCAGAACACGTGTGAATTTTTCAGCTCTGCACATCTACCTCGGGAAGGAGCATTCTGATGCAGAGATGCTATTTGTATGCCTTCAATGGGAAGCTTAAATGATGCCATATTCTAGATGTGGCTATTCTGTCAGCCCACATCTATACTCATAATGAAGTAGACTTGTGATATGGTTATCCAGTTGGAGACTCAAATTTTCATAGAAAACAGGAATTCCTCATTTGCTGTCCTGAGGCAGGGCACTAGACAGTTGCATCTAAGATATCTGCTGACAGTGAGTAGTATATGATGCTTCAGAATGAAACTGTAACGACAGAGGTGAGTGCTGAACAGCTGAACCTGAGCCCGTCTTGATGCCTGTGGAATACAAGCTCACTGTATCTCTTGCTACAGTACAAAATCGTGTTTGTCTGTTGCTGCAGTACAAAACTAATTTGTTTTAGCAGTCACAAAATGATATGGATCTCCTTAAAATACTTACTGGGGTAACTGATGTCTAGCTTTCCTAAGAAGTGTTTGTCTTAAGCTTTTTTAAATGAAAATGCATTATCTTTTGTCTGTCTGTGATGATCTTTTTTGAGTAGGAACTTTAGTATGCATACTCTGCTTTGCCTTTAGAGGCCAAAAATAGAGCGCAGGAAATGGACAAGATCAGTTCTTGCATACTATGCCTTGCTCTACTCTTACAAACTTCCTGTCTTTCCTTGGGAATGGTTTCTTTTGTCATCTTCTCTGTGCTTATCTCATAACTAAATAATGAGGGCAAATCCCTCATGAGCGAATGTGTTTCTTGAGAAGGGAGGAATTTTTTCTAAGCTATGTAAATGAGTATCGGAAGGATTCCTGTTTAGTTGCACGACAGAGATGGTGTGTTCAGACTGTTTTTTGCCTAGCTGCAGTACCTTAAGCAAGAAACATCACAGTCTGTCTTCACTTCTTCAGACTGTGACCATTAAAGCTGCTTCTCCTGCTGATCTTGTGTGACACTAGTTTCTCATGTCATTGTATACAGTGAGCAGAAGCTTTTAATTATTGATGGCATTCAGTTCTTTCCTGACCTGTGTGAGAGTGAGGAAACTATTTCATATGTCCATTTTCAATTCTTGGAGATGTTCCCCCCCCCCCCCCCTTTTTTTTTGTCTCTCTGAACAGCTCTGAGAAATACCAGTTTCCATTCAAAAGTTTTTGTCATATATTAGTTTTGGTTTGTTTCTGGAGAAGGTATTTAGGGAAAGACTTTTCAAGCTGTTATAAACAATGTGGCTTACTGGTCTTCCTGGTGTGAGTTGTGCTGCCAATCCAAAATTAGCGTGGCGGATACTGTAGTTCTAGAATTTATACACTTCTGTGAAGCAACAGTGACCTCCCCTGGGCACAGATCTTCTATCAAAAGGTGTGTGGTGGTTTTTTTTTTTTTTTCCTTTTTTGTCTCTTTGACAGATTCACTGTGAAATTAATCACCTACCCCAAACCTATATGCCAGTCTTCTCATAACTGAGAAAACTGGCCACGTGTTGAGTTTTTGTTAGTTTTCCTGGCCTACCTTTTCACCAGCCCATGTCTGTCACAAATGCCTGAAAGACTGAATGTAGTAGTTCAAACTGAGAGCCTTGATGCATGTGTAG